TCCGCTTGACAGAGATTCTCAAACAAGGACCAGTCCGCCTTGTCAAGTTTCCAACGTGGTACTCTCTGTTGGGCAGAAGTAAAAAGATGTTCAAGTACTATTGGAAAGTGATCACTTCCACATAGATCATCATGAACACGCCATGAATAATCCAGAAGAAGAGAGGGATCGCAAATAGTGATATCAATAGCAGAATAAGACCCGTTTCCAGGATGAAGATAAGTATTAGATCCATTATTAAAAATGCATAATCCTTCTTGAGAGACAAAGTCCTCAATGATCTTACCTTTGATATTATGAGACTTGCTTTCCCACAAGGGGTTGTGTGCATTGAAGTCGCCCATAAGTATAAATGGTGAGGGTAATTGATCAGTGAGGTTTTTGAGTTTAGCTTAATCGATAATTGAATTGGGTGGAATATATATAGAACATAATGTAATTGTTTTATCTAATGATAAACGAATTGCAACTGCCTGCAGATCCGTGGTGAGTTGGACTGTGCTATGAATGACGTTGTCCTTCACAAAAATGGATGATCCGCCTGCAGCACGTTCATCTACCTTAGAAAATGTGCTATACATGTTGTATCCTTTTAAAGATACATTGTCACTTTCTTTTAAATGAGTTCTTGAAGACAAAATGCAGTAGGTAAAAAAGACTGAACTAGAAGCGTTAACTCGAGAAGATTTATTTTAAGACCTCGGCAATTCCATTGGATGATATTAGTCATGTTTTGTTAATAGACGGGCAAATGCTATCGAGTTTGCCAGCATTCTTATTTCGCTCACCCTGAGATTGTAATCTTTCGGGTGGCGGAACACTTTCGATTTCCATTTCTGATTCGTCGTTAAGTGTTGAAAATCTGTTGTGTGAGGAGAGTCGTCGATCTCCAGAACCATGCGCAGCTGGTTTTACTCCGCCTCGACCCCTACCCCGCATCCTCGAATCAGAAGACTTCTGAGAGGATGTATTTGCTGGCTTCTTAGGGACATCCTTCTGTTCTAGAGAACGAAGAGGAGACGGGACTTTAGAAGACTTTGTACTAGATGCAGAAGATAAACTAGTTTTATTAGATGCAGATGAAGGAGGACTATTGGAGATGGAAGAATCATCTATGTCACTGGGAAGATCCCAGACAGATTCACCGCCCAAACTGTCTGATTTAACTGTATCTTTTTTATTTGATTTCTTTTTTTCATTTTTTTTAGATGATGACATTGAGCTCTGTAAGGAAGATTGAGTTGACTGAGTACTGGTTTTAGAAGGTGTTGGTTTTCTTGGAATTAATATTTTATCGTTAGGTTCTGTTTCAACAGGCAGCATTGTAAATGTCTCAGCATCAATTGGCCAGGTCATGCGAGTTTGTGTATGCTCGTGACTGAATGAGCGGACAACTTTGCTGGCGTACGATGGTCTGTTCGAAACAAGATCATTCGAAACAGAAGCTATCTGTTTAGCTTCTGGGTAACTGATGTTTCTTTCTGTTTTAATTTTGATAATATTTTTTTCTTTAAGGTAAACAGGGCAGTCCCTAGATGATGAAAAATGGGATTCACCACAGTTTACGCATTTAGAAGATTCAGAGCTACAGGTTGTTCCCTCGTGTCCTTCGTCAGAACACTTGAAGCATCTCTGCGTACCACGACATTGTTTGCTTCCATGACCAAACTTTTGACAAGTGAAGCATCGAATTGGGTTAGGGATAAACCTGTCAACTCTGATTCCGAAGCAACCTAAAGTAATAGATGGAGGAGGAGTTGGAGTTCTAAATGTCAAAAGATATGTATTTAATTTGATTATATTTCCATTCTTTTTTATTTGAAATCTAACAACATCAGTTACACCTTGGCTTGAAAGTTCCTCACAGATTTCTTCCACGGTAAGGTCACCAAGGTATTGACTTCTGTCTCGAATGATCCCCTTACAGCTGTTCAAACTGTTGTGAGGAGAGGCAGAAACAGGAAAGTTTGTAATTGTTGTCAGTGTAAGCAAATTTGTTGATTGACTTTTGTTGGAACATTCAACCAACAAATTGCCTGATCTCATTTTTGAAACTTTTTTTACAGTACCAGCAACGCTTTGAATTTGTTTGTGAATCACAAAGGGAGATATTTTGGAAATTGGTTTTTCATCTGTTCCTTTTATTACAATAAATCTGGGCCAACTGTCATCTTCCTGACAGGGCACTGAATCATCACATTTTCTTTTTTTATGTATTAAAGCTGATTTAGAGGGTTGGTTTTGTTGTGCCATAGTAAATGAGAAAGATTCACCATTCTTGTCATCCACCCACCTCGGAGTGCCTACAAGGGCGATGCTGTGTTTCCGTGGCGAGCCGGGGTCAAGTGCTAATGCTGAAAACGAGCTCCAAGTATAACATGTATAACGTAGCTGGTCCCCAAAATTAGCACCCAAGATCCACTGCGGAAAGCACCAGATGTTCCAAGAATGGTATACTCAAGCAGAGCGTATCCATCAAGCGAAATAGAAAGCGTACCACTTGATTGACCCATGAGCCATCGCCTTCTTCAGTTATCCGAAATATATATAGCTTAATTTAAAACACATGTGTATATCATGAAAATTGTTACAAGAAAGCTTATTGTTGAGGATTAACTGAAGGGCTCGACATGACCAGCCGATTGATCGAACCGGGTCCATCCGACCTCCCGTTTAGATGATATTGGAGCCAAAGCAGCTTATTTAACTATAGTCTTGTCCGTCCGGGTATTTTCTGACCGTAAGGAGTCTGGCTACAGCCCTCATCCGCAAGGATCTCGTCAACCACCGACACGGGTAGCAACCCATGGCCAACGGGTTGGAGAGCCTATTTTATTCAAAACATCGGGCAACTCGTACGATGTTCGGATCACTTTAGTCTGGTCTCTACCCTTCGACCTGTCCAGCATGGGTAACCCTACCAGGAGACGAAGCTCCAACTGGCATAGCTCTTGGGGTCACTGAGACACGCAAGCCCCCCGACCACGGCAAGGATAGCGATCCACCGGGGGGCTGTTTGATGACGGGCGGTTTTTTTTTGGGAAAAATTCAAATATCCTTTTCCATCGTTCTAATCCTGTGATTATGCTAATCATTTAGACACTCCAACAGTTGATGTAACCACACTAGCTTATCCAAATTGGCCCACAATAGGAGGAACATTCCTTGACTAGTACTTGAGTGCACTAGCAAGTGAAACATAGTGCCAAGTCCTGGACAACAACATAATACCAAGTCCTGGTCTAGCTTGTTCGTCATGTCTAATGATGACAACATTTTCCCAATGATTTTTTTTGGTACTACTGTCCCTGTTACACCATTCACAAGGACTGTGCATAACACACAAATCATCCTCCAACTCTATCTGGTATTTAAGTTTGAAGTCCAATTTAAAAATGTAAGTAAAGTAACTATTATCATTAAGCGTGAAAACCTCTGAAGAGAAGGTTTGATATTGTTAATAAAGGCAACAGTAGTATACCGGTGTTCAAAAGTCATAACCCCCAAAGGTGACTGGGGAATAGAAATATGGTCACCATTGGTCTTCCTCCGACCGGCGGTTAAACCCTTGCTAAAGTGGGGCGTCCGTTTGGCTGTGCGGGATGTACAAATTCGCAATCACGTCCGGTCAGAATGGGGACGTTAAATCCGATGCCTCGTGAAAAGAGAGTGCTACGTTCTTTGCACGTTAAGAACCCTTGCAACAACTCTTTGAGGGGTCCGTAGGTGGCCTGTTGCAAGGCTAAATTTCTGTCCTATCCAATATACCCTCATTTTTCCGTGGCAGTCCAATTTTCCCAGACCTTCATCCCGGACGGCCTCTATTACAGGACCTACCTATTGTATTTATTGTTAACTTGTTCTCGTCCGGAACATGCATGAAATATTTGCCACTGGACGTTAAGCAACCAACAATCAATCAATCAAAAGTCGTAAATCAATTTAGAGAAAACAAATCCGGGTTACAAACCAAAACCGAGGGTAACACATCAACTGTAAGAGGAAAACAAAGGAACAACAGGAACACCGAAGTGCAACAAAAACAAACGCCAACACACATAGAAACGAACTATTTGATAGCAACTACCATATTCCTGACTTAGTACATGACATTTTAAGAAAAAATGGTGGGTTGAACCTGGTTTCATGGCATGCCAAACCTCCCGCTTTATGACAATGTTAAAAAATATCGCTCAAACACTACACGATAAATTTGTTTCAACAGATTTTTGCTATAAAAAAACATGTTCCACAATTATAACATTATCATTCACATTTTCTATTTTTTTTCTATTTTTTATAAATGTTACATATATATTTATATGTAAAGATTGCAAGCATATTTTTTATTAATGCTATCTCATGATGACATGTATTTATAAAAGCAATCTGATTTTAAACTAATAAATATCTTATCTTCTTGATGAATCCATTTTTTTTTCAGTATAACCTCACCCACAACTGTTTCCACTTGTTCATAAATTTTCACCAAAATTTATGTTACCCCTTTTTTCCAGAAAATTAAATATTTCTAGTTCATTGATTGTTTATCTGTCTGGTTTTATGACGCTCAATGATTGTGTTTTTTTACCTGAAACATGGCATTTAAATCGAGTCTTTGTCTCCGTTTGATCTTTAGCGTCTTTGACAGAACTGTAATAATTTTGACAGAACTGTCGGCTGCATTATGACGTCACGTATCAACAGGGTTGCGTATACAATTCAAAGAGCAGCGATTTCGTTGATTACCAAAAAGTGTTTCTTCGATATTGATAGTTGTCAATGAAGCTGCTGACATGTCTCGCAATCGGATGTCAAAATTTAAGGCACCGGATAGCTTTAAATGTGACTGTTGTGGTAACGAGACAAAGAAATGTGCAAATTATCACCGGCATTTGGAATCTGATCGGCACCAGCGTGTTCTGAATTTTTCAAACCAAGTCAACTTTGAAGTTGGAAAAGATAACGAGAATGATTTTTTCACGGATAGCGCTACTGACATGATCGCAGATGGTGCGACCTCGGACTACCAATCCAGTTGCGGTCAAGATCAGTACGATGAAGATTTTGAAGAAGAAGAAGGTGTAGATGTAGATGACGAGGATGAACAAGAGTACGACGAGGAACGAAGCTCCGACACCAAGACAGAGACAGAGTGGTTCCCATTCGATTCATTGGTTGATTGATTGTTGGTTGCTTAACGTCCAGTGGCAAATCCCATTCGATTCAAAAACCCACTTTCTCCTCACTTCATTATACAGTTCTAAAACCCACCGAATTGTAAGTTTACATTCTGATTGCATATGTTATTCTAGTCAAAATCATTATGACGTCTAGAAAGGCTATTTTTGATTTTTGCTGTTACCCCTTCCAGTTGAAGAAAGGCATTCAAAAATAAATACGAAAAAGCCGTACAACACGTAATAATTATTTACAGTGTTCTCCCCAGGGTCTTTAAGCGTTATGATAATCATTTGTATAAAATGTGATGCTATTTAAATCCCTGATTTAAACATCTCCCTCAAAGATGGAGTACACTGTTTTATTGTCAATTAAAGCAGCCCATATAAAAAGCATATTAATCTGAAGCAAGACCAGTTTCTACCAACTGGCCCCGCTATTAAGCGGGGGGACTGGGTTTTAAACATGTATCAAGTCAGATTTGTTTTTACCACGCAAACAAAGCAAAAATGTTTTCTTCAGCAAACCCCAAGCGTGATTTTTTTTATTAAAATTTATAAAGATAAAGGAATACATCTTTTAACTTTTATTTTTACATAGATATAAGAAGATGTGGTATGAGTGCCAATGAGACAACTCTCCATCCAAGTCAAAATTTATAAATGTAAACCATCAAAGGTCACAGTACGGTCTTCAACACGGAGCCTTGGCTCACACCGAACAGTAAGCTATAAAGGGCCCCAAAAAATTACTAGTGTAAAACCATTCAAACGGGAAAACCAACGGTCTAATCTATATAAAAAACGAGAAACGAGAAACACTTATGAACCACATCAACAAACGACAACTACTGAACATCAGATTCCTGACTTCGGACAAGTGCAAACAAATGCAGCGGGTTTAAACGTTTTAATGGTACCAAACCTTCACCCTTTTTCTGAAACAATAGTGTAACATCAAAACATAAAAAGACACACTATAAAATATCAACTGAAATAGCTTAACTCAATCAAAGGACATATTAACACCATTGAACATACACTGAACAAATAAATTTGACCTATGACACAATGTAAATACAAAATAAATTAACTAAGGGAAGAATAATAAAAGTAACATATTATATCGGTAAGAAATGTTAAACAATTAAAGAAAAACAATATGCTCGAACAAAAATACCATCCATTTGCAATAACTTTAAACACAGGTAAATGAAAATAATTTTGTTGTTAGGTATACGTGTACAGTACCAATAGAGAAAGGAAATATTTTTACAAAATAAATAATTTAGAATACAAAATAAATAAACTAAGGGAAGAATAATAAAAGTAACATGTTATATAGGTAAGAAATGTTAAACAATAAAAGAAAAACAATATGCTCGAACAAATATACCATCCATTAGCAATAACTTTAAACACAGGTAAATGAAAATAATTTTGTTGTTAGGTATACGTGTACAGTACCAATAGAGAAAGGATTGATTGATTGATTGTTGGTTGCTTAACGTCCAGTGGCAAGTATTTCATGCATATTCAGGACGAATAGAGAAAGGAAATACTTTTACAAAATAAATAATTTTAACGTTCATAGTACGAAGTGAAAATTTATAGTTATACCAAACACTTATCAAAGCTGGTATATAGACCAGATATAACCCTGAATAACATTAAATAACAAAAAAGCAATACAATTAGTATCAACAGGTCAAATAAACAAGAAAGTACGATTTGAGAGTACTCGCAGTTACTGACAGCTAGTTAAAAGCCAAAACAATTAATAATAAAAAATCATGCATCAGAGACTAAAATCAACTAAAACACATCCCAGGGATTTAGTATTTTAACGTCATGGACAGTCAAAGAAGACATGACTAGTGCAATGCCAAACATAAATGTATCGACAGACAGTAGGATAGTTAGGAGTTTAACCTCTTTATAGATCTAAACGAACGTGGGTGTGTCTTTATACATCCCACTTGAAAAAAAAACAAATTTAGTTATGTTTTAATTTGATGATGACAAAATCGATATTAGTGCCAATGTAAACTATATTCAAAGATCTAATTACAACATTTGTAAGATCACCTTTACTAATGAGCCTGTTTAAAGGTTCGATGAGTATACACGGATCACATAGTGATTTCCGCGCTTTAAGTACAATATTACCGTAAAATTTAGGATGTGAAATACCGTTTTTAATCAGTTTTCTACAAGTACAGCCAAATTTACTAATCAAATCTTTGTATCTATGAAAGAACTTAGCAAAAGTTTTACGTAATTTATGGTAACGAAATCCTTGATTTAATAATTTACCAGTGATGCATTGATTACGTTCGTTAAAATCTATGACATCACTACACACACGGGTATAACGAACGAGTTGGGATATATATACACCGTATGATGGAGCCAAAGGAACATCGCCGTCTAAAAAAGGAAAATTAACAAAAGGGAATGAAAAATCGTCTCTTTTGTCGTAAATTTTCGTATGGAGTTTTCCTTTAGAGATTGAAATGTCCAAATCCAGAAAAGGGCAACTACTGCTGTTTATGTTAGATTTAGTTAAAGTAAGTTCTATTGGGTAAATTTCGGTAGTATATTTAGAGAACTCTGGATTATTTGACGAAAAAATATCATCTAGATAACGGAAGGTATTGTTGAATGTATCAACCAAATGTAACAATGACGTGTCTTTACTGAGTTTGGTCATAAACTGAGATTCATAGCAATACAGGAATAAATCTGCTATTAAAGGGGCGCAGTTAGTGCCCATAGGAATACCTACAACCTGTCGATACATTCTATCGCCGAAACGTACATATATGTTGTCCAGGAGATTGATTGATTGTTGGTTGCTTTACGCCGCATTAGCACAACAAGGCTATATCGCGGCGAGAGCTAATTCGAATATTTTTTACAATTTAAAGCATATTCTTAAAATCAGACAAAAGGCCCTTCAATAAACTAAAATTCTAGATTAAAGCAAATTGATTATTTACAAATAAAAATGAACATTAAGATAACGTGATAAAATTTAAAATCGTTTTAAATATAATAACATTTTTATATTTTAGAATATATTCCAACTTCTTTTAAGAATGAAACAATATTTGTAAATGGAACATTATTTAATAAATCATACATATTATTAACATTGAAATGCTTCTTACGAATATCAGCAAAGTCAATACAATTGATTAAAACATGTTTTATAGTATACTTGCAGTTACAAGGTATACATTGTGGTTCTACTTCATTTTTTAAAAGATATTCGTGTGTTATTCTAGTATGACCAATACGACATCTAGAAATAACACACTGATCTTTTCTGCACATAACATTATTGAAAGGTTTACCTAAATTAGGTTTAATTTCATGTAATTTATTATCATCTTTTTTACTCCATTCATTTTTCAATATATTAAAAACATATTCTCTAATATTAGATTTAAAATCGGTATATGGTATATCACAGTTAGATAAAGGGTCACCCAGGGCATTCTTTGCCTCAAGGTCTACAGCTTTGTTTCCAAGGATTCCAACATGACTCGGCACCCATAGAAATAATATTTCTTTACGAAGAATTTTTAAATTCCTCATTACATATAAAATTTTGAGAATTACTGGGTTTTTAATTTTAGTATTTTGTATAGCTTGTAAGCATGAAAGTGAATCAGAACATATAATAAATTTGGATTTATCTGAAGAAGCAATAAATTTCAAAGCCAAAATTATTGCTTCTGCTTCAGCAGTAAAGATCGATGCATCAGACGGCAAACGGAGAGTTGCAGCTCTGTCCCTGAAGACAGCAGCAGATGCAACTCTGTCACCATCTTTTGATCCATCAGTATAGACAGTTGAAAAATCTGAATAATTGGCTTTGATTTCAGCATAGTGTTGCTGAATTAAAAGAGGATTTGTTTTATTTTTATTGTGTTCACGGAGATCAAATATCATTTTTGGTTTGGGAAGTTCCCATGGAGGACATTTGCAAGTTTCAACTTGAGCAACAGATTTTAAATCAAAAGAAGCTAAATGTGGTTTTAAACGTATACCTAACGGAGGAATTTTATTTTCATGTTTTGCAAAAATATCTTCATAAATTGGATTAAAATGAGGGTAATTGATCAGTGAGGTTTTTGAGTTTAGCTTTATCTATAATTGAATTGGGTTGAATATATATAGAACATAATGTAATTGTTTTATCTAATGATAAACGAATTGCAACTGCCTGCAGATCCGTGGTGAGTTGGACTGTGCTATGAATGACGTTGTCCTTCACAAAAATGGATGATCCGCCTGCAGCACGTTCATCTACCTTAGAAAATGTGCTATACATGTTGTATCCTTTTAAAGATACATTGTCACTTTCTTTTAAATGAGTTTCTTGAAGACAAAATGCAGAAGGTAAAAATGACTGAACTAGAAGCGTTAACTCGAGAAGATTTATTTTAAGACCTCGGCAATTCCATTGGATGATATTAATCATGATTTGAAAATAGAAACGCGAATGCTGTCGAGTTTGCCAGCATTCTTATTTCGCTCACCCTGAGATTGTGATCTTTCGGGTGGCGGAACACTTTCGATTTCCATTTCAGTTTCGTCGATAAGTGTTGAAAATCTGTTGTGTGAGGAGAGTCGTCGATCTCCAGGACCACACGCGGCTGCTTTTACTCCGCCTCGACCCCTACCCCGCGACCTCGAATCAGAAGACTTCTGAGAGGATGTATTTACTGGCTTCTTTTGGACATCCTTCTTTTCTGGAGAACGAAGAGGAGACGGGGCTCTAGTAGACTTTGCACTGGGTGTAGAAGATAACTTTTTAGATGCAGATGAAGGAAGACTATTTGAGATGGAAGAATCATCTATGTCACTGGGAAGATCCCAGACAGATTCACCGCCCCAACTGTCTGATTTAACTGCATCTTTTTTATCTGATTTCTTTTTTTCATTTTTTTTAGATGATGACATTGAGATCTGTAAGGAAGATTGAGTTGACTGAGTACTGGTTTTAGAAGGCTTTGATTTTCTTGGAATAATTAATTTATCGGAAGTTTCTAATTGAACAGGCAACATTGTAAAAGTTTCAGCATCAATTGGCCACGTCATGCGAGTTTGTGTATTCTCATGACTGAAAGAGCGGCCAACTTTGCTGGCGTACGATGGTTTGTTCGAAACTAGAGGATCACTCGAAACAGAAGCTATCTGTTTAGCTTCTGGGTAACTGATGTTTCTTTCTGTTTTTATTTTAATAATATTTTTTTCTTTCAGGTAAACAGGGCAGTCCCTAGATGATGAAAAATGGGATTCACCACAGTTTACGCATTTTGAAGATTCATTGCTACAGGTTGTTCCCTCGTGTCCTTCGCCAGAACACTTGAAACATCTCTGCGTACCACGACATTGTTTGGTTCCATGACCAAACTTTTGACAGGTGAAGCATCGAATTGGGTTAGGGATGAATCTGTCAACTCTGATTCCGAAGCAACCTAAAGTAATAGATGAGGGAGGAGTTGGAGTATTAAAGGTCAAAAGATATGTATTTAATTTGGTTATATTTCCATTCTTTTTTATTTGAAATCTAACAACATCAGATACACCTTGGTTTGTTAATTCATCACTAATTTCTTCCACGGTAAGATCACCCAGATATTGACTTCTGTCTCGAATGATTCCTTTGCAACTGTTCAAACTATTGTGAGGAGAGACAGAAACAGAAAAGTCTGTAATTTTTGTCATGGTCAGCAAATTTGTTGATTGACTTTTGTTGGAACATTCAACCAACAAATTCCCTGATCTCATTTTTGAAACTTTTTTAACTGTACCAGCAATGCTTTGAATTTGTTTATGAATTACAAAAGGAGATATTTTTGAAACTGGTTTTTCATCTGTTCCTTTAATCACAATAAATCGGGGCCAACTATCATCTTCCTGACAGGGCGCAGAGTCATCACATTTTCTTTTTTTTGTTGAAGCTAATTGAGAAGTTTGGTTTTTGTTTGCCATACGAAAGGAGAAAGATTCACTATCCTTGCCATCCACCCACCTCGGAGTGCCTACAAGGGCGATGCTGTGTTTCCGTGGCGAGCCGGGGTCAAGCGCTAATGCTGAAAGCAAGCTGCAAGTATAATGCAGCCTGTCCCCAAAATTAGCACCCAAGATCCACTGCGGAAAGCACCAGATGTTCCAAGAATAGTATACTCAAGCAGAGCGTATCCATCAAGCGAAATAGAAAGCGTACCACTTGATTGGCCCATGAGCCATCGCCTTCTTCAGTTATCCGAAATATAAATAGCTTAATTTAAATACATGTGTAAATAATGAAAATTGTTACAAGAAAGCTTATTGTTGAGGATTAACTGAAGGGCTCGACATGACCAGCCGATTGATCGAACCGGGTCCATCCGACCTCCCGTTTAGATGATATCAGAACCAAAGCAGCTTATTGAACTATAGTCTCGTCCGTCCGGGTATTTTCTGACCGTAAGGAGTCTGACTACAGCCCTCATCCGCAAGGATCTCGTCAACCACCGACACGGGTAGCAACCCACGGCCAACGGGTTGGAGAGCCTATTTTATTCAAAACATCGGGCAACTCGTACGATGTTCGGATCACTTTAGTCTGGTCTCTACCCTTCGACCTGTCCAGCATGGGTAACCCTTCCAGGAGACGAAGCTCCAGCTGGCATAGCTTTTGGGGTCACTGAGACACGCAAGCCCCCCGACCACGGCAAGGATAGCGATCCACCGGGGGGTTGTCCAGGAGAAAATTTAAAGCTTCAATCATATCTTCACATTTCCAGTAAGTGTATCTTGCATACTTTCCTTTTTCGTTACAGAAAAAGGCTTTAAACGAGTTACAGCAAATAAATTTGTAATGCGATTTTTCAAAAGACCATTTAATTAAATATGAAAACTTTTTCTTGATAAGATTGTGTGGAAGTGTAGTATAGAGAGTAGAAAAATCATAACTGTCAACAGAATTAAAAGGACCATCAAAAGCATGAATTTTATCTAAAACCTCTAAAGAATTTTTAACACTCCAAAAATAATTAATACCATTATTTTCATAAGCTTTATTACAAAAGTTAATAACAAGTTCTTTGATATTAGTAAGGGAGGTAGTTAGAAGCACTGATAGATTAGTAGTAGAACACTTACTAGATGCGGAGATGAAACGGAATTTAAATGGTTTTTTGTGCAATTTAGGTAACCAGTACATAGTAGAGACTTTCAAATGTTCGGAAGAGGCCTTAAGCTGGGTAGTGGCAGTGATATGCTTGTTTACAATTTGACTCTCTGTGAAGCGTACGGACCTGAATGTAGATGAATTTGTAATTTCGTTTTGGAGAACTTCCGTGTAGTATATGCGTCACACCACCACTACATTATTTGCTGCTTTGTCTGCCGGTACGAACACAAACCGCTTTGCGAGTACTTGGGAGTTTATTACACAGTATATTTAAAATAAAAAACATGAAGGTTTTTCTGTCCCCCACCAAGTTTGGGTTTTATATATGAACCACCCTGTATGTCTGTCCATAGATCTTGTAAATTCCTCTTAATGGATTGAATTCAGTAACATTGAAAAGAAAAACATATAGGGAAGATGTTGATAAGACAAAATAGACTATTTTTTTTTTTTTTTTGGTTAATAAAATAATGGCCAGATTGTTTTGTTTTTTGTCGAGCCTGCGACGCTCGACATAGGGATAGTGATCCGGCGGCGGCGGCGAGGCGGCGTTAGCTAACTTCTTAAAAGATTTGAATTTTAGAAGGTGGAATACCTGGATGCTTCATACTTTGTATATAGATGCCTTATATTACGAAGTGTCCGTCTGTCACATGTCCATTGTCCTTGACCTCATTTTCATGGTTCAGTGACTACTTGAAAAAAAGTTAGGATTTTTTGTAATGTTAATTTCTCTCTTATTATGAGTACTAGTAATAGGATAACTTTATTTGGTACGTGCGTACCTTGCAAGGTCATCATGCTCGTCAGACAGTTTTCACTTGACCTCGACCTCATTTGATGGATCAGTGAACAAGGTTATGATTTCGTGGTCAAGTCCATATCTCAGATACTACAAGCAATAGGTCTAGTATATTTGGTGTATGGAAGGATTGTAAGGTGTACATGTCCAACTGGCAGGTGTCATCTGACCTTGACCTCATTTTCATGGTTCAGTGGTTATAGTTAAGTTTTTGTGTTTTAGTCTGTTTTTCTTATACTGTATGCAATAGGTCTACTATACTTGGTGTATGGAATGATTATAAGGTGTACATGTCCAACTGGCAGGTGTCATCTGACCGTGACCTCATTTTCATGGGTCAAAGTTAAGTTTTTGAGTTTTGGGCTTTTTTTCTAATACTATATGCAATAGGTGAACTATATTTGGTGTATGGAAATATTTTATGATGTACATGTCAGTCTAGCAGGTTTTATTTGAGCTTAACCTCATTTTCAAGGTTCATTGCGCAGTGTTAAGTTTATGTGTTTTGGTCTGTTTTTCTTAAACTGCGATAGGTCAACTATATTTGTTGTATGGAAGGATTGTAAGCTGTACATGTATTTCTCATTTGGTTTATATGACCTTGACATCATTTTCTTGGATCATGTTAAGTTTATGTAATAGTTGTAGTAGAGCTTTCTAATTAGGACTATCAACATAATATTAATGGTTAGTACATAAGGCGAGACATTTCAGCGTGTGCACTCTTGTTTTTCTAAAAAAAAAAAATGCCCCCTACGTCCCCACCTCTATCAAATGGTACAAGCCTTAGATTGTTTTGCTAATCATCAGTTGATTTTTGTGGAGGGAATGACACACTATTCTGTTTGGATGTGAGTAAAAAAAAATGGATCAAATTGGTTCTATATAGGACAACAGTTATTTTATATATTTATTTCAATAAGAGCATAGTTTATTGAAGATAAATTTGCTTCAACAGATTTTTGCTATAAAAAACAGGTTTCACAATTATAACATTATCATTCACATTTTATTTTATTTTCTATTTTTTATAAATGTTACATGTATATTTATATGTAAAGATTGCAAACATAGTGTTTATTAGTGTTATCTCATGATGACATGTATTTATAAAATCAATCTGATTTTAAACTAATAAATATCTTATCTTCTTGATGAATCCATTTTTTTTTCAGTATAACCTCACCCACAACTGTTTCCACTTGTTTATAAATTTTCACCAAAATTTATGTTATTCCTTTTTTCCAGAAAATTAAAAATCGTAATAGAAGTAGAATTTGCAGTAATATTTCTAGTTCATTGATTTTTTATCTGTCTGGTTTTATGATGCTCAATGATTGTGTTTTTTTTTACCTGAAACATGGCATTTAAATCGAGTCTTTGTCTTCGTTTGATCTTTAGCGTCTTTGACAGAACTGTAATAATTTTGACATTACTGTCGTCTGCATTATGACGTCACGTATAAACAGGGTTGCGTATACGTTTCAAAGAGCAGCGATTTCGTTGATTACCAAAAAGCGTTTCTTCGATATTGATAGTTGTCAATGAAGCTGCTGACATGTCTCGCAATCGAATGTCAAAATTTAAATCACGGGAAAGCTTTAAATGTGACTGTTGTGGTAACGAGACAAAGAAATGTGCAAATTATCACCGGCATTTGGAATCTGATCGGCACCAGCGTGTTCTGAATTTTTCAAACCAAGTCAACTTTGAAGTTGGGAGAAGATAACGAGAATGATTTTTTCACGGATAGCGCTACTGACATGATCGTAGATGGTGCGACCTCAGACTACCAAATGAATCCAGTAACGGTCAAGATCAGTACGATGAAGATTTTAAAGAAGAAGGTGTAGATGTTGATGACGAGGATGAACAAGAGTACGACGAGGAACGAAGCTCCGACACCAAGACAGAGACAGAGTGGTTCCCATTCGATTCAAAAACCCACTTTCTCCTCACTTCATTATACAGTTCTAAAACCCACCGAGTTGTAAGTTTACATTCTGATTGCATATGTTATTCTGTTCAAAATCATTATGACGTCTAGAAAGGCTATTTGTGATTTTTGCTGTTACCCCTTCCAGTTGAAGAAAGGCATTCAAAAATAAATACGAAAAAGCCGTACAACACGTAATAATTATTTACAGTGTTCTCCCCAGGGTCTTTAAGCGTCACGATATTCATTTGTATTAAATGTGATGCTATTAAAATCCCTGATTTGAACATCTCCCTCAAAGATGGAGTACACTGTTTTATTGTCAATTAAAGCAGCCCATATAAAAAGCATATTAATCACAATAAACATGATAAATTTAAATATTTACAAACGATTGGACTGAAAGCAGGACCAGTTTCTACCAACTGGCCCCGCTATTAAAAAGTTGTAAATTCCAGCTGAATTCAGGCCTGCCAACTCACCCCACCAACGAAAATAAATCACAAACCCTATAAGGCTATAAATAATTTAGTCCTGCCAACTTGCCTCACTAATGAAAAGAAGTTAAATCCACACAATAATTAATGCTAAAATAATAATAAACAAAAAACATTTGTAATACATATGTTTTATTACTATCTGAGACTATTATACTACAGAAATTTTGTGTAAAGTTTGTGAGTAAGCGACCGAGTTTACACATCAATAACCTCCAGAAAAAAGGTCTTTCTTCCTTATGATTCTTAGCAGAACAATTGCATTTTTCAATTAACATTTTTTATTCATTGGCTTCTATTTACCATCAACCACCAACCATCAATTGCACTATAAGCATGACTACATTTTTGTCTTGTTGAACTGATAATATTTAGGAATGGAGGAGTTATCTGTGACATCACTAATTCAAGGTCAAAATATCTTATACATTGCAGAAAACCATCTGCTTTGTAAGATTCTGTATATATATCCCCTAGAATGTCAGTTTATTTTTCTACAGGTCACCATATACTCAGAGTGAGGAAGACATCATAGATAAATAAAGGATTAAAAAAGGCAACAGTAGTATACCGCTATTCGAAATTCATAAATCAATTGAGAAAAAACAAATCCGGGTTACAAACTAAAACTGAGGGAAACACATCAAATATAAGAGAACAACGACACAACAGAAACTCAACACTAGAATGCAACACACACAGAAACGAACTATAATATAACAATGGCCATTTTCCTGACTTGGTACAGGACATTTTAAGAAAAAATGGTGGGTCTCATTTACAACTTCATAAATAATTCCCAGTTTATATAGTTTGAATGGTGTGTATTATAAGTGTGTATTAATTAGACTAACATTTTCAAATTTTTTACTCTCTTTCAAAGGCTGATGACATGGAAAGACATGGCCACTTACTGCATTATACAGAGGACAGTTTTGAAAAAAACCATAAGACAATAAAAAGCAGTATCTCGCACCAAAATGGCCATGCCAGGTCAAGGGATACAGCCAGTCAGTTTGCCAACAATGAGTTGATGTCACATGTCATTGTTGGAGGATTTTTGCAAAATTCTAAGAAATGGTAATAGGGTAATAGATTAAATAATACATGTCAGGTCATTAAAGATTGCATATTTTGGCGTTAATATTGATTCACTTATAGGGTCTTTGCATCGGCACTAAACACATTTATTTAAAAACCAGTTGTTGGCATGACACGGGTTATGTTCTTCTCATATATGTTATGATGGTATGATACTAAACCCCTAACGGGAAGGATTGTGCCTGATATTCATATGATGAAGACATAATCTTTCAATCAGTTTAATTGAAGTCTGGAGCTGGCATGTCAGTTAACTGCTAGTAGTCTGTTGTTATTTATGTATTATTGTCATTTTGTTTATTTTCTTTGGTTACATCTTCTGACATCAGACTCGGACTTCTCTTGAACTGAATTTTAATGTGCGTATTGTTATGCGTTTACTTTTCTACATTGGCTAGAGGTATAGGGGGAGGGTTGAGATCTCATAAACATGTTTAACCCCGCCGCATTTTTGCGCCTGTCCCAAGTCAGGAGCCTCTAGCCTTTGTTAGTCTTGTATTATTTTTAATTTTAGTTTCTTGTGTACAATTTGGAGTTTAGTATGGCGTTCATTATCACTGAACTAGTATATATATTTGTTTAGGGGCCAGCTGAAGGACGCCTCCGGGTGCGGGAATTTCTCGCTGCATTGAAGACCTGTTGGTGGCCTTCTGCTGTTGTCTGTTCTGTGGTCGGGTTGTTGTCTCTTTGACACATTCCCCATTTCCATTCTCAATTTTCATTTTACCTAAAAAGCCAAGACAAAAAATACAAGTTATTTTTTTAGTACTTTTTCCTTAGCATAAGAATTATAAATAACACTTCTTGGTAAATTTACTAAACATTTTTGTTGTTTTATTAACTCGTGATATGTAGGATGAAATTGTATTTTAAGATCTGTCCTTGAAATCCTTGGATGGTTTACAAATCCAAGACAATGTCGGCAGATATTGTCATTGATAACTTTAATAGGTCGATACCTCTGCTGGTGGACTATCAGTCCCCGAGGGTGTCATCAGCTCAGTAGTCAGTACTTCGGTACTGACATGATTTTTAACAAACTTTTCTAAAATTGCCCGTTTATAAATTTTGAAATTATAAAGAAACTAAGGTTTCAACTCCCTCAGGCAAAATTGACCTTAGATGGATTTGGCTATTTGTTTTAGGTATTTTTGTCATATAGCTCTTCAACTGTTTCGGTACTTATACATCCTTCGGATTTCAAATGTTTGGCTTTGAGCGTTCCTGATGAAGGTAAATCCAGAAAAGCGCTTCGGACGCATGAAATTATTAAACGTGTTGTTTTCAATTTTGTACATCACTGGGTCGATACCTCTGCTGGTGGACTATCAGTCCCCGAGGGTATCATCAGCTCAGTAGTCAGTACTTCGGTACTGACATGATTTATAACAAAACTTTTCTAAAATTGCCCGTTTATAAATTTTGAAATTATAAAGAAACTAAGGTTTTAACTCCCTCAGGCAAAGTTGACCTTAGATGGATTTGGCTATTTGTTTTAGGTATTTTTGTCATGAAGCTCTTCAACTGTTTCGGTACTTATACATCCCTCGGATTTCAAATTCTGATGAAGGTAAATCCAGAAAAGCGCTTCGGACGCATGCAATTATTAAACGTGTTGTTTTCAATTTTTTAATAACAATCCTCTGATGAGCCCCACAAAGTCACTGTAAGGCAAACTGTTAGTCATGGTTTAGAAAATTTCAAAAAGCTTCACCGAATACCTTTCTGTTAACTCTTTTAACAATCTGATTACTCAGGTAAAAAAAAAAGGTTATTGCACAAAATCATTGTTACAGTTCTAAAATTTGCCATAAAGAGCCTCTGGTTTCGGCAGTTTAGGACCTTGAAAGTTAAAAAGTTGCAAATGACATTACTATTTGTTTTAATACAAAATGGTCCTAAATGTCTTGGAATCCGCAATATCAATGTAAAATAATCTGTTGACACAGAAAAAGGAAAAGTAACTTTATAAGGAACATAATTTTAATAAGCACATTAAAATCTTGGAACAATTATAGGTCTATGTATAAACTATTATCCAGAAATCATACGCATTGTAATTTTTTTTTTTTGAAGGAGTTGTGCTTCTGATTTGGTGATAAGCTATGGGAAGGACAGCAAATTTATTTAATTCAAATAACCTATAAAATATCATGCTCATTGTTTATATATATATATATATATATATATATATATATAAGTCTAGAGATTTGCACAACGATACTACTATAAGATGGTATTATACGAAGACCAAAACTTACCTGTATTATTGAGCTATTTTTATACATATTATCAGTATTGTTAAAATAATTGACACCGAAGAAGGCTATTTGTTAAGCCGAAATATTTGTCAACACGATTTATTAACAACTTCTTCGTATAATACCATCTTATATTAGTATCGTTGTGCAAATCTCTAGACTTATATATTTTTTTCCTTATCTGCACAGTATCGTCTATTCTAGACGATCCGGTACATAGTAAATTTGCTGGTTGGTCCTTTTTATAGACTTCTATATTTCCCCTTAAAAAACGGTAAACCGTCTTTAGAATCTGATGATGAGTGTTGGATATTTTACACTGACCCGGATTAAAAAACCTGGTTAATTTTTGTATTTTAAATTCGTTGCTCTGATCACACAGATAACCTGTGATGCTCCAGATAGGGGATGTCCTTAAAAAAAAGAAAAAAAATGGTGGATAGAAAAATACTAAGAATTTTCACCCTCCTGAAAAAGTGATCTTAAAGTTATCGTAAACTGCATAGTATGCATAACACATTATATCACCACCATTCACTGGGGTAAGGTGGTGACCGTCATTCGATTCGATTCACGGTCATCCCAAGATGGCGGACGCAGAATTAGATAAGAATCGGTATTGTCTGTTAAATTGTTTCTATGATATATTCTATATAAATAAAGGCAACAGTAGTATACCACTATTCAAAATTCATAAATCGATTGAGAAAAATACAAATCCGGGTTACAAACTTAAACTGAGGGAAACACATCAAATATAAGAGGATAACAACGACACAACAGAAACTCAACACTAAAATGCAACACACACACAAACGAACTATAATATAACAATGGCCATTTTCCTGACTTGGTACAGGACATTTTAAGAAAAAAAAGCATACATTGGTATGATATAAATTTATAAAAGATTCATACGTAATCACAAATTACTACCGATAAATGTATATTAAACTGGAAATTCGATTTGAAAAAATTGCTTAGATTACCGTAATTCATCATCATTATTTTTTCAAGATGACCGTAACATATAACAAGGATGACCGAGATTCTATAATCCGAGCAACATGTAATGTTGAGTTTGTCTTAATAGGGGCTCGGTTAGTGGATATTTTTTTGTCGTATTTTCAGTACATGACATAGATAGTAAATTTCATACTGCTAGTAAACAATGGAATATTGATCACAGCATTAAAATTTTTAACACAAATTGACAGATAAAAAAGATAAAAAATTGATTTAACATATCTATATTCGCTTACCGAGTCCATGTGTATGTTTCCACGGGAAGCAGATTAAAAACTAACTTTGTCTTATGTATGAATAATCACAAAACATGTATGTTTCATTTTAATACATTATTGTGATTGGCTAACAGCAATCTCGCGTCATTCTGAAAATAACCTTCATTTCAAAATGAAATGTAAAACGAAGTGCACAGGTAAATAAAAGAAAAAAACTTGACAAAAAACGTGTTTTCATGATCCTAGCTAAAAACTGTAATTATAAGAATTGGATGCTATTTTAGTAATTTTATAAGGTTGTAAAAGCGTTGACCGTGCGCCTGTTTTTAAAATGAAGCGCATACAAACTGTACTTCGGTCAAGACTTTTTCTAGGATCTAAGTGGTAGAATAAACTAGATATCATTGAGATGGGATCCATCTCTGTGGGCCCTCCTGTGAATAATATGTGGCCAATTTTCATTGGACATGGGGTTGTCAACTGAAACCAAAGTTTTTGACCTTGACCTTTGACCTAGGAAGTTGAACATAAATTATGACACACCCTCTGGTGTTGGTTTATATACATGTCAAGTATAAACTTTGAAATCATAACGGTTCTCAAGATATAGAGCGGACACGATCTTTATCATAGGACATGGGGTTGTCAACTAAAACCAAAGTTTTTGACCTTGACCTTTGACCTAGTAAGTTGTACATACATTATGACACACCCTCTGGTGTTGGTTAATATACATGTCTAGTATAAACTTTGAAATCATAACGGTTCTCTAGATATAGAGCGGACACAATTTGTCACGGACGGACGGATGGATGGACAGACGGACGGACAGACTGATCACTATAGGGCGTCCGCCATTCGGCGGGGCCCTAATTATTAATTTGGTAATATTAAGCCGGAGCTCACCTTCATTAGTTTGATCGTAGTTTTGTCATAAACATTGTCTATCAATACATAAAGAAAAACATAGATATAAATAGATAGCAAACTCGTGTAATTGGATTTTTCCAACAAACTCAACATTATCTAATGCTCGAATTATGGAATCACGGTCATCCTTAATATATGTTAAGGTCATCTTGAAAAAATAATGATAGTAAATTACCGGTATCTTGCGATTTTTTCAAATGGAATTTTATGTTCCATATTTATTTCTCGATAGTAATTTGTGATTTCATTGTCAATCTTTTATAAATTTATTTAATACCATGTATGCTTTATATTGAATATATCATAGAAACACTTTAACAGACAATACCGATTCTGACCTAATTATGCGTCCGCCATCTCGTAAAGGTGTCACACAAATGCCAACAAATGAAGTGCAACAATCAACAGAAATAGCCAGACTTACGAAGTACCGCTTACTTTTGTTCAACATTTGGGTTGTATTTTTAAAACAATCGCAGGAATATGCCACACGTACCCCCCTCTTTCAAAGTATGAGACATAATCAGATTTAAATGTAAATGATCAGA